TAGTTAGTTAGTTAGTTAGTTAGTTAGTTAGTTAGCTAGTTAGTTAGTTAGTTAGTTAGTTAATTAGTTAGTTAGTTAGTTAGTTAGTTAGATTTAACGGACTAATTAATTTTCTAGCTAACGTGGTAAAATATATATATGGTTTATATAAAATATATATATATTTATATCTAGATATGCTTATCCTCTGCTTGAAGATGGGGTTGTAGTTAATTCAACTCTAGATGTAGCATCTCCGACCACTGTCAAACAAGTGAATAAAGTCTACACTCTTCTTAGTCGAGGAGGAAATCAAACTTATTTAGGTAATTATCCAGTTTTTTAAATTCAGTTTTCATAAACCAATATTCACAAAATAGTCAACTGCCATTTAATAATAATAATAAACAATGATCCTTATATCTTTGCATTCTGACGATATAAATTATATATTTCAAATTATGGCTATTTGAAGGCTTAAATTCTTTGGTCCTTGAACATCTAAAGTAGCAAAAAAAATTTTAAGTGATAGAAATTTGATAAAGTTTGCGAGAAACAAGATCTTTATTCGCCAATTTATTTCAGATTTAAAAGCAACATTTTAACGCAGAGAAGTGGTCAAATTCCAATTTTTTTATGTTTAAAAAAAAATTGATATTTTAATCTTTATGACAATATTCTAGAATGAATACCTGGACCCTCCTTCCCTGCTTCCATACAATTTCCAGAGTAAAAAATATCCTTTGGGCGATGGACAACCCCTGATGATAGATCAAAGGTAGAAACAAAGGTTTAAACAAGGGTTTAAACAAGGGCTTAAAAAAGGGGTTAAACAAGGGTTTAAACAAGGGCTTAAACAAGGGCTTAAACAAGGGTTTAAACAAGGGCTTAAACAAGGGTTTAAACAAGGGTTTAAACAAGGGCTTAAACAGGGGTTTAAACAAGGGGTTAAACAAGGGTGAAACTATTTAATCGAAAATGTCAAATCAAATGAATATATCTAGTATCAAATTAGAAGCAATATTTATAAGAATAATTAAAAAATGAAAACTCTTAACGATTTAAAAAAAGATTATAAAAGTTATGAAGGTCGATTTTTAATGATTTTAAATATGTCAAAATAAATATTAAATTATGCGTCTTGAACCGTAGTATTATCTTGTATATCGTCAATTTGTCCGTTTTTCGACATTACAAAAATTGTTTAATTTCTTTAAAGGGACTAATCTCGACTAATGACTAAGAATGTATGATTTAAAAAAACAGATAATTATTTTGTATTTCTAATTTCTGTAAAGTTTTTATGCTCGCAAGAAGCAAAGTGAACAAAGAATTGATCTATTCCATGGTATGGTAACCGCCAAAAAAGTCCTTGGAAAAAAAGTTTCCGGAAAAAAGTCCTAAAATTTTATACTAAAAAAGTCCTGTGGAAAAAAGTCCTTTTATTAAAAAGTCTCCGGAAATAAAGTCCTACAAAGTCCTAAAATTTTATACTAAAAAAGTCCTGTGGAAAAAAGTCCTTTTATTAAAAAGTCTCCGGAAATAAAGTCCTACCGATTCAAGACTTTATTTTCTAAGACTTTTTTTCTGGCTCCAGTATGATTTTATACAAAAAAGTCCTCGGAAAAAACATGCATGATTCACAATGGAAAAAAGTCCTGGTTGTAAACATCCTATCAATAATCGTAGGTTTTCAGGGGCTTCATATTTTCTTTTTCATATTAATTAAGGAATATAAAACTAGCCCTGTATATGATGTGCATAGTACACTTGTACGAACTTTTCTTAGGACTTTTTTTCCTCAGACTTAAATTACTGAGTTCAAATTTCCCGAGACTTAGGACTTTTTTTCTAGGTTTTTCTTTTCCTCGGATTTATTTTCTTCGGGACTTTTTTTCCTGAGATCTTATTTCCTGAGACTTTATTGGCAGCCCTCATTACTATTTAAGGAAAAAAAGTCCCAGGAAATTCGGACTTTTTTCCAAAGTTTTTATTTCCAGGTTTTTTTCCAGAAACTTTTTTTTCCCGGGACTTTCTTACATAGATTCCCATAGTATACACTGATACAGTTTTGATTTTGAAAAAAAGAAGAAACACCCATTATTTATCATCTTATTTATTACAAATTACAATAAATATTTCACTTTTTTCCAAATATTTCAATCATTGCAAACTTTAAATCTTATTTTAAAAATTCCATTCCTTCAGGTATTTCCAAGAAAGTCTTAAAGGAGGATTCTTCATAGGTAACATTATTTTTAAATCTTTGCTAATTATTTATCCACAGAGTAGAAAATACATTTTTTATTCTAAAAAAGTGTAAAATCAGCATTTTGTCGTACTGCATGTGTAATTCCGTATTGCAAGTGTACTTCACACTTGTGTAAGTAAGAACTTATTTCATTTTTTTGGAGAAGGGGGGAGGGGGGCCGAAGAATTTAATAGGAGTTCGTATTTTCAGAATTTTTTTCGGGGTTTTAAAGTTAAGAAACTTCAAAAGAAAACAAAGTCTATTTATCCCTTTATTACAGCCTCACAATAGGGCAATAAAAGTTGGAGAAAATTCTTTATGCTTTAAATAAAAATGATTAAAACTTTATACTTTAGAGGCCGGAGCTTTTGATGGAGAACTCGAATCAACCACCCTATATTTCGAGCAAAAGTATGAATATTAGTTTAACTATATTTCGAGCAAAAGTATGAATACTAGTTTAACTATATTTCGAGCAAAAGTATTAATACTAGTTTAACTATATTTAGAGCAAAAGTATTGATACTAGTTTAACTATATTTCGAGCAAAAGTATTAATATTAGGTTAACTATATTTAGAGCAAAAGTATGAATATTGGTTTAACTAAATTTTGAGCAAAAGTATGAATATTAGTTTAACTATATTTCGAGCAAAAGTATTAATATTAGTTTAACTATATTTAGAGCAAAGGTATGATTATTAGTTTAACTATATTTCGAGCAAAAGTATGAATATTAGTTCAAGTATATTTCGAGCAAAAGTATGAATATTAGTTTAACTATATTTTGAGCAAAAGTATGAATATTAGTTAAACTTTATTTCGAGCAAAAGTATGAATAGCTAACTAAATTTTGAGCAAAAGTATGAATATTAGTTTAAATATATTTCGAGCAAAGGTATGATTATTAGCATAACTATATTTCGAGCAAAAGTATTAATACTAGTTTAACTATATTTCGAGCAAAAGTATGAATACTAGTTTAACTATATTTCGAGCAAAAGTATGAATACTAGTTTAACTATATTTCAAGCAAAAGTATGAATAGTATAGTTTATCTTTATTTCAAATCATTGAAGACTGAGCAAAATTTAGTATTTTTTAGAAAAAAGAATAAACTAAGAAAAAAGTTGAAATGCAAAAAAATGAAAAGCTTTTCTGCAAATTTTTTGTTAATTTTTGTATCAATTGTTTTCTGATTCTACATATTTTCCCAAATGTCAAAATTTCAAATTCAAATGTGCAATTTTCCAAGCGGCAGCTACCCAAGTCTGTCCTGACACGGCAGTGCTAGGCCCCATAGCCTTTTCTAACAGCAGCGATTGGCCCCTAGCCCATCCTAGACGCAGAGTTCGGCTCTCATTGGAGCCTACGCTGCACGCCTCAGAACCATTGGGAAGTTGCCGCTTGGGAAATTGTAACTTTAGAGATCGTCCTTGGGAAAATGCCTTTGTGAAAATACCTAACACCATTTCAGACATGGCTGGAGTGGACTACTAGTCGAACCTTTACTTAAAGAATACAAACAGCTCAGGGAAACATAGGTTTTATCTTAATTTTATACAGGGATACCCACAAAGAATGAGACTTTAAATTAACGATCTTTGAGTTCGCCTTGAACAGTTTTTAATTGTTTTGCTTAATGATTTGGCAGAAGAAAGAAAACAGTTTACAGTTATAGGGCTGGGCATGTTAAGACTTTTTTCAAATTGATATAAGAAAAAATTCAAGTGAATTTTTCATTTTAAAAGTTCTTCTTTATTTAAAGAGACTCAAACATTTAAGTTTTTTCATTAAATAGCATTCCAACATATTTTATAATTGCGAAAACTTAACTTTAAAATTGTTAAATGTTGCTTTTCAATGTTTAAAGTTAGCTGATTTAATTTGGATTCCTACGCCATTTTAAATATAAAACTTGATTTCCACGTGCAGAGAAGTTAACCGGAAAGCGTGGAGTGTACACACTTGCCTTTCTCCAATTGAGAAACCTAAAACTATTATTTTCACAGATTTTAGGAAAACTAAACAAAATATTTAAAATAATCATGTTCTAATGATAATGAAAAACCACTTACACTGCAAAAGTGCATTTTATATATCCCCATTCCGCCGTTAACATACAACTTTTTTAATGCATCGATTCATAATTGGATAATGAATAATTCTGTAAAAAGTTTATATTCATATTGAAAACTGGGTCACTGAAAGTTTTAAGAGATTCTTGCAAAGTATTATGAGAAAAGTAAAAATCTTTGTAAAAGTTTTCGATCATTTTCAACATTTTGCAAATGCAAATGGAATTTTCTCTGACACCGTAATTTATGCCAACATTAATTTATTTGTTTGGTTGCTTCTATACAGTTCTGATTTGACGGGAGCTGGAATATTAGAAGACAACAATAGAGAAAATAAAATTGTAAAAGGTAAAATAAAGACAAACGGTCTCTTACTACCATTATAATCTGTCTCTTATTCACATATTAATATGTTGTTCTTAAAGGAACTGAAATGCAATGTTTGCCCCTCACTTCCCTCATCCTTGCGCTAGGAAACCCAAGGTAATTTTTATATTGAAAATATAAGTAAAAAAAATTTCCCTCTGTAGTTAGTGTTTTTCAAAAAATGTATTTCTTTTCTTCCTTTATTTAGTATAATATGTGATATCTCTATATACCGAACATTAGGAGGGAAAATATAGCTTTTGAAACAGTGCAGGGGAGGGAATGATTTTAAAAGAAAATTTACCCCTGAAAATAATTCTTATCAATTGTATTTTTTTTCTCAGAAAAATATTTAATAATCTTATAATTAAATCTATGTTTTTTGTTCAGGGTTGATTACTTAAGCTTGGATATAGAAGGGGCAGAGTATAATGTGTTGAAGACGATAGATTGGTCTAGGGTAGATATCAGGTGGAACTTTTTTACTTAAAAATTTAGAAAGTTTGCTTTTCTGTTGAATATGGTATAAAACATAGTCAGAAGTATATAAAGAGGAAGGGGGGTTGGGCTATTTGAACTTAGCTGATAAAAAATGTTACGCCCCGCACACCTCCAAATTCCTGCATATGCACCTATTACTAATAAATTACCTTTTCATAGTTTAATACTATTAATAGTCATAAACTCCTAATCCTTGAAACCATAGGAGATCCCAGAAAATATGATATCAAATTCTTGTTCTTAACGCTTTATAGCTGTAATCATAGATTATATGGAATTGAAGACAAATGGAAAATAAGTTTAGTTGATTGATTTGATTTGATTGGTAAGATAATATTAACTATTTAGGGTGATATCAGTGGAGACTCAATTTATCTCTGAGTTTGGATTGGAGAGTACTGATCTTCATAATCTTCTTACTTCACAAGGTTAAACAGTTCACTGTGATTTAACAGTTTGGTCCTTATCGTCCCATCCAACCTGCAACTTTCTATCACAATTTGACCAATTAAACACAATATTTTTGCATTTTCTCATAGATACTTTTTGTCAATGAGTGCATTTTATTTGAAAAAAGTAAAAAACAGACAACTCTTTATTTTAAGAGATTTTTGAATATTCAGACCAAAAAAGTTTTAAGACAAGAGGTAGAAGTTATGGTTTGTTTAGGATATATACTGTTGGACCATATTTCTCGAGATACAGTGTATTTTCAAGCACCCAGCCCCCATCTTCAACATATTAAACCCAACCTACCCTATCTACCCTCTAGTTCAAGGAACCTTAATATCAAGGTAATCTACCTCATCTTCTACATATTAAATCCAACTTACCCTATCTACCCTCTAGTTCAATGAACCTTAATATCAAGGCAATCTACCTCATCTTCAACATATTAAACCAACCTACCCTATCTACCCTCTAGTTCAAGGAACCTTAATATCAAGGTAATCTACCTCATCTTCTACATATTAAATCCAACCTACCCTATCTACCCTCTAGTAAAGGAACCTTAATATCAAGGTAATCTACCTCATCTTCAACATATTAAATCCAACCTACCCTATCTACCCTCTAGTAAAGGAACCTTAATATCAAGGTAATCTCCCTCATCTTCAACATATTAAACCCAACCTATCCTATCTACCCTCTAGTTCAATGAACCTTAATATCAAGGTAATCTACCTCATCTTCAACATATTAAATCCAACCTACCCTATCTACCCTCTAGTAAAGGAACCTTAATATCAAGGTAATCTACCTCATCTTCAACATATTAAACCCAACCTATCCTATCTACCCTCTAGTTCAATGAACCTTAATATCAAGGTAATCTACCTCATCTTCTACATATTAAACCCAACCTACCCTATCTACCCTCTAGTTCAAGGAACCTAGGATATCAAGGTAATCTACCTCATACTTCAAAAGCCCAAAAGTGATTTTTTTTACAAGGATATCATTCTGATTTAAAAATGCAGAGGCAACAAAAAGTTCAATGTAATAATAAATATAAAACTAATTTAGATTATTTTGTGAAAATATGTTCCCTTTCAGTGGCTTTGTAACATCTCGCCATATAACATTTCGCCATATAACAATTTGCCTAAATAACATTTTGCCATAAAACAACTTCCCATATAACATTTCGAGATAAAACAACACCTCGCCATATAAAAACAAAAAAACAAAATAATAAATTTTATTTAGTAGAAAGTAGTATTTGTAGTTTAGTAGAAAGTATATATGTAATAATATAAAATTATGAAACATTGTTCTGCTATATTGATGAATACACAGATACATATAAAAGTAAGATTTAAATTTAGTTTAGGAGAAGTTGTTTATGTCAACCAAAGATGGTTTCCCCCGCTGAGTTGTAGATGCGGGCAGTACTCCCGACATTGTTGGAATAACTGTATTTGCGGATTTTTGGTTTTTGATTCGTGGATTTTCTGGTATAATTTCATTTAAACTACAATTTAATTTAAAAATTTATATATAGGCGAGTTGTTATTATATGGCAAGTTGTTATATGGCGAAATGTTAAATGACGAGATGCTACTGTGCCCTTTCAGGGGGCTGTACAATTATTTAGGACTTTTTTAAGCAATTCAATTAATTTTTTTATTAGGACTTTTATGCCATAGAAATTAGGACTTTTCCTAATCACTTTTGGAACTTTAAAGGAACAGAGAAAGAACACTTCTAAATTAAATTCTTTATCTAGTAAGATGACCCTACTGTTTCGTAAAATATCATTCAGAGTTTTGTTTTACAATCTTCTGACGTTCTTCTGACATATTTTGGTTTGATGGGGAAACCAACTAAAAATAGCGCCGACACACAAAGTTTCTTAGGTCTTGTTCACAGATTAATTTATCTAGGATATGTTTAGGAAATGATTAATTTGTATTTAAGATTTTTTAAGGAAATGTTTATAACTTTTTTTAGATATACTTAGGAAATGATTAATTTGTATTTAAGATATATTTATATTTGTATTTAAGATATGTTTATAACTTTTTTAGATATATTTAGGTAATGTTTAGGATGTAAAAAGAATTTATTTAGGAAATGTTTAGGATTTAAAAAGGATTTGTTTAGGAAATGTTTAGGATTTAAAAAGGATTTGTTTAGGATGTAAAAAGAATTTATTTTGGAAATGTTTCGGATGTTAAATGGATTTATTTAGGAAATGTTTAGTATGTAAAAAGGATTTATTTAGGAAATGTTTCGGATGTAAAAAGGATTTGGTTAGGATATGTTTAGGATGTAAAAAGGATTTGGTTAGCAAATGTTTAGGATGTAAAAAGGATTTGGTTAGGATATGTTTAGGATGTAAAAAGGATTTGGTTAGGATATGTTTAGGATGTAAAAAGGATTTGGTTAGGATATGTTTAGGATGTAAAAAGGATTTGGTTAGGATATGTTTAGGATGTAAAAAGGATTTGGTTAGGATATGTTTAGGATGTAAAAAGGATTTGGTTAGGATATGTTTAGGATGTAAAAAGGATTTGGTTAGGATATGTTTAGGATGTAAAAAGGATTTGGTTAGGATATGTTTAGGATGTAAAAAGGATTTGGTTAGGATATGTTTAGGATGTAAAAAGGATTTGGTTAGGATATGTTTAGGATGTAAAAAGGATTTGGTTAGGATATGTTTAGGATGTAAAAAGGATTTGGTTAGGATATGTTTAGGATGTAAAAAGGATTTGGTTAGGATATGTTTAGGATGTAAAAAGGATTTGGTTAGGATATGTTTAGGATGTAAAAAGGATTTGGTTAGGANGCAAGCTGTACAGTACAATTGCAGCTAGAGCAAGCTGTACAGTACAATTGCAGCTAGAGCAAGCTGTACAGTACAATTGCAGCTAGAGCAAGCTGTACAGTACAATTGCAGCTAGAGGAAGCTGTACAGTACAATTGCAGCTAGAGCAAGCTGTACAGTACAATTGCAGCTAGAGCAAGCTGTACAGTACAATTGCAAATAGAGAAAGTTGTGCAGTACAATTGCAACTAGAGCAAGTTGTACAGTACAATTGCAGCTAGAGCAAGTTGTACAGTACAATTGCATCTAGAGCAAGTTGTACAATACAATTGCAGCTAGAGCAAACTGTACAGTCAATTGCAACTAGAACAAGCTGTACAGTACAATTGCAGCTAGAGCAAGTTGTACAGTACAATTGCAACTAGAGCAAGCTGTACAGTACAATTACAGCTAAAACAAGCTGTACAGTACAATTACAGCTAGAGCAAGCTGTACAGTACAATTACAGCTAGGGCAAGCTGTACAGTACAATTACAGCTGGAGCAAGTTGTACAGTACAATTGCAGATTATCTTATGCAACCAAGGACAGTACCCCACATGAATGATTCCCGTCTCGTGAAATTTATGTGTAATGTTATATAAGGGAATATTTTTTAAAGAATTCTTGAAGATTTTTGAGAACACATATATCCTGGGATTGAACCTTAGTTTAGTTTCATATGTTTAGAAAAATTGAACCAGGGTATATTTTCGAAAATTGTTGAAGATTTTTCAAGAATTTACAACTGGATTAACCCCCGAGTTATAAATGTTTAAAGCTTTTAAACCAGAGGTACCATTTTAAAGAATTGGTAAATATTTTTCAAGAAAAAGTATACCCCTGATTGACCCAGGTTTAAAATTTTAGAGAGATTGACCCGGGGGTATGTGGATCGATGAAGGATTGACCCAATTGTATCTAATATTTAGGAAGATTAAAACCAAGTTGCTACCTGACTGCACGAAGCGCAGATCTTGTCCTGCTAGTTTTCTAGCTCTGGTTAGTACCTTCAAGTACCAGCAACCCTGGAGACTAACATTATCGGATCCTTGTCTCATGATTTTATCAGATTCAAAATACTTCTAATTAATTTCTAATCTAGATTCCTTTCTATAAACTCTGTAATTTAACAATTTTAGTGAAAAAAAACTTGGTGAAAGTTTCTCTGTAAAATTGAAAAATAAATTTCAAGTCATTTTTATCTTTTTTAATTGATATTAGAGAGGGTATCACCTTATTATTTTATGAACTGTTTGATTTGAAGTACAGAATGTCTCAATTAGAGATGAGCGCATTTGGTTTTTTCAACCCCCCCACTAATGGTTGTTTTTCACTCACTAAAAAAACCGCTTTAAGAAAAATTGTAAATAAGATTATAAGGTCTAATTGAAAGAATTTGAAGAAATTATCATAATATGGAAAAATTGTCAATTGATAAGAAAGAATACATATGTAAATGTTATATATTAGGCCTGGGGACCAGGGGGGGGGGACGTACACAGGGTTCCGCGTACATCCCTGTTTATATGAAGATTGTTTGATTTCTGTGTTTTCTTCATTTTGACCATAACAGTAACAGAGGTAAAAAGCTGTCAAAATTTGTAAATTAAAACTTGAGAAAATGTTTAAAAACCACCTTTTGGAGATTTAAGGAAAATATGATATCTCCTTTATTGTTTTAAGTAGGGACTATAAATGCCTTTATTCTAAAACAAAAGATTCATGGCTCGATGAAAATTAATTATCGTGTTAATTGAGATACCTGGTGCTTGAAATGAGAAGTAAGAGAAAAGAGGAATTGTGATATTTTCCCCCATTGTTTCTGAACCAGAAATACGAAAGTCAATTTGTAGAGAAACCACAATAATAACCTTTCAAAGAGAAGATGACGGTTATCTCAAGCATTCCAGACATAGCTTTATGTCCTCGACAATCCCACAAATGCTTTTATGTAAAGTTACGAAAAAGAGGTTTTTCCTCTAGTTGAACTTTTCAAATGTACGACATCAACAAAAGACATTTAGAAGAGAAAGTTTAAACTTTTGACATAATTTGTTGTGTATAAATACTAATAAATACTAATAAATACTAATAAATACTTCTTTGGAAATTCAATCACTTGATTAAGTAAATATTGTTAATTCAATAAACCCAGTTTAAAAATATATATTTTCAGCTTAAACTAGGACAAAAAGATCATCCGCTGAACCCTTTGGGAGCATGAAACAAATGTGACGGTGTCTGACTAAAATGTGATGGTGTCTGACTAAAATGTGATGGTGTCTGACTAAAATGTGATGGTGTCTGACTAAAATGTGACGGTGTCTGACTAAAATGTGATGGTGTCCGACTAAAATGTGACGGTGTCCGACTAAAATGTGACGGTGTCGGACTAAGATGTGATGGTGTCCGACTAAAATGTGACGGTGTCCGACTAAAATTGCTCAAAAATGTTTCCAAAAAAGGGAGCCTTAAACACATTACACAAATATCCATAGAACTTTAATTATTAATTGTTTAGACCAGGTCCACATTCAAGTGTTTCAAGTGTCCAGCGGAATGGAAAAATCGTTTCGTAAAAATTCCCCATTTTTGGCAGACAGTTTTTGTTTCGCTGCGAATTCTGCATTTTCAAATTTCTTTCGTAGGAAAAAATCGCTTCCGCATCCTGCGCGGAATTACGAGTTAATCTGTTTTTGCTCGAAAATGCAGAATTGCGCGGAAATAATGTGAAAATTCCTTTAAAAAAATGCATTAAAT